TTTTTTTGTGGTTTTGGGTTGTGAAGACTCTGACTTGAATCATTCTTAATCCCTTTCTCCTGTCCTTCCTGTTTCAGATCTCCATCTCTACCTCACCGGCGCTTCACTCCCCCTATCCAGCGCCGATACAGTCCCTCCCCTCCCCCAGCTCAAAAGAGACGCTCATCAGGGTCTCCTCCCAAGCGCAGAAGATCTCCATCCCCTGTGTCCAAGCGTAGAGGGTCTCCATCCCCTGTGTCCAAGCGCAGAGGATCTCCATCACCTGTGTCCAAGCGCAGAGTGTCCCTTTCACCCATTGCCAAGCGCAGAGCATCTCCCTCACCCATTGCTAAGCGTAGAGGGTCTCCTTCACCTGTGCCCAAACGCAGAGCATCTCCCTCACCCGTTGCTAAGCGTAGAGGATCTCCCTCACCCGTGGTCAAGCGTAGAGGGTCGCCCTCTCCTGTGGCCAAACGTCGCTCCTCTCGATCCCCGAAACGGAGTCGTGGCAGTAGTCCAGGAAAAAGACGTACTCCACCCTCCTCTGCTTCACCCCCACCCCGCCACCGTAGAAGCTCTCCAAATCCTCCTGCAGTCCAACGGAGCAGAGATATTCGCTCTTCTCCCTCTGCCCATAGCACTCGAGTGTCTTCCAGTTCTCCGGCTCGATACGGCCCCTCTGGTTCATCCCCACAGAGACAAAGACGTCAGACGTCCCCGTCTCATAGCACCAGACCCATTCGCAGGGTTTCTCGCACACCAGAGCCACGCAAATCTCAGAGGTATGTTTTCTGATAGCGCCCCCTCTATTTGTGTAACACACGTGATGATCTCTGAATGACTATCTATTCCTGTCGATTTGTAGAGGTTCTCAGAGCCCCCAACCAGTAAGGAGGCAGGTTTCACGTTCACCATCTGCTTCTCCTCCACCTGCTCTGACGGCTCACAAGCGGCCTGCTTCAGTCTCACCTTCTCGCTCTGCTAGTCGTTCTCCACCTCCACCTGCCAAAAAGAACAGCAGTGTCTCCCCGAGCCCATCACCTAACAAGGTACAACACACCTGCCCAAGCCTCAGTCTCACTTGCTCCGGACTGCTTGAGTCCAGAGAGCTTCTAAAACTAGATTTGTTTTTGGTTCAGCTGTTCATTTTTTATAAATGGATCCTATTGAAACAGCTTCATTTAGGAAATCTACTGCCAAAAGTATTAAAAACAGTATTAAAATAATATTTATGATGTTTCTACTTTTTATAGAATGATTTTGCTTGAAGTCAAAATGTTTTCTGTTTGTTGGTTCTGTAGAACTCCGATGCAGAAGGTAGTAAGAAGAAGAAAAAGAAGAAAGAAAAGAAACACAAGAAAGAGAAGAAACACAAGAAGCATAAGAAACAGAAAAAGGAGAAGAGTGGAGAAGAAAAGAGTGGAGGGGCAGCAGGAGGACACGGACAGGAAGCAGAGCCAGACTCTGACCAGAAAAAGGTGAAGTTACACTTTTAAAGCTGTATGAACAGTCAATATAAAATGGTCTGGTTTCTCCAGTTATCTATCTATCTATCTATCTATCTATCAGGGCTGTGCGATATTGAAGAAAAATGCGATATGCGATACCTTTGCGTTTCAGGTATGAGTATGAGGTATTCAAGACGAGACGGCAAAGAGTTTCTGCAACTTATTGCACTTGACTCTTTTTAACGTCAAGCAATTCTCTGCTCTATGCGTCGAACTAAAACTTTGACCTTTTGCAACGTTTTGATTTAAGTAGCCTATTATTAAAATGATTCAGATATCGCACGCCCTTGTGATATGCATATTGAGATATTTACATTTGCGATATTTCGATAATTTCGATATATCGTGCAGCCCTACTATCTATCTATATCTATTTTTTAATACCCGTTCATATATTTTTTGTTTTTGAAAAGTGTCTTATGCTCACCAAGGATATTTACTTGATCAAATATACAGTAGTAACAGTAATTTTGCGAAATTATATTAAAAGATAAATTGTAATCTATTTAAGTGTATTTTATTCATATGACGGCATTTTTCAGTGGCCGTTACTTCTGTCTTCAGTGTCACATGATTCAGAAATCATTCTAATATTCTTGTTTGGTGCTTAAGAAACATTTTTAATCAATGTTGAAATCAGGTGTGTTGCTTAATTTAAGGAAACAGTGATACCTTTTCACAATTCTTTGCAGAAAGTTAGAAAGAACAGCATTTATTTGAAAGAGTTGTAAAATGTTACAGAAATCTTTTGTTTAGAAATGTATTTACGGTCACTTTTTATCAATTTTAATGCATTCCTGCTGAATAAAACGATCAAATTCTTTTACTTTGCTTACCCTAAAGTTTTGAACGGTAGTCTATATAGACTGGAGACATTTGACTGCAACTTTAACAAGAAGAACTTCTCTAGAGATAAAAGATCTTGTCTATATTGTGAAATAATATGCTTGAGTCAGACATAATTAATGCTACCTTTCCTGAAGGAATCAGAGAGTGAAGTAGAAGACAGTTTGGATGATCTAGAGAAGCAACTACGTGAGAAAGCTCTTCGCTCAATGAGGAAGGCCCAGATGTCTCCATCATCTCAGTCCTGAGGAAATATCCACCACATCCCACATTTCCCTCTTTCTCTTCCACTCTCTGCATTTTAAATGTTTGATGTTGGTTCAGCCTTAGCATGTACAAATTGTTAAAATTCACCCTAGACTTTTGTTTGTTTGGACTTTTTTTGGGGGGCATGTTTATTGCTGAGGAGTTTTATGATGTGTAAATGATTGAGCAGCTGAAGTTTCTTCATCAGATTCTGCCCTCTTTACCACCCTTAAATACTGTCAACAACTGTTTATCCATAAACAAACCTTTTTTTTAGTCCCCAACCCCCCTCATAATTCCTGTGTTGCTTTTACGGTCGTGATGAAATAAATGAAAAGCTTATTTGCAGTTCTGAGTTAATAATGAACAAGTTAGTCCATGGATTCTCTCTTCACTTCAGCAGGACTTTTTACGAGAGTTTTGTTTGCATGGACGGCAGACCCTAGTGTGTTTGTCCTCTTGTGTGCATGATCCATAAACCAAAACACCCAGAGAGCTGATCCAGTAAGCTGCTCTCTCTGTTCACCTGAGCATCGTGGCAGCACTCAAGCTCTAATGTGCACATGAGAACAAATCAGTAAAGTCTGTTTTCATCCTTTTTTTATTTTGTATTTTTTGCTTTGTTTTTTGTAACCTAAGTTGTTTGAAATTGTTGAACCCTGCAGTAATTTCTGGCTTTGAACAGTCACATTAAAATGGAAAAAAAATAATTGTCTCAAATCCTTTACTTTAAATTGCATCAGTTTACATCTGCAGTTTGATGTTTCCCTTTAAAGTAAACAAAAGTGACAATCACAAACCCAGCCAGTATAGTTGGATGCAGACAGCTTTACATACATCACATTTGGGATGCATACAGGCTGTTTTACATATGTTTACTCGTCCATTGTGGTCTAGAAGGTTCTGTGGAAAGCATGTGGTGTCCCAGGTCTGCTGATGACATGATAATCAACTGTTGTACATGTTATCTTGTGTCATCACCTTGGCAACACTTGGTGACAAATCTTGTGTAGTCACAGATGAAAGCTCAGTGAGTTCTTATTGTGTAGTGCGGTTAACAAGGACTGATCTGCAAAAACAGCCCAAGGCAACACTGTTTATGCCCTGGTTGTTATTTTATAGTGCCACCTGCTTCCTAACTGGCCACAGGCAGCTGTGGGAATACCATAGGTGTTTAAGAGATAAACATGAGGTCTGTCTTAATCACTGTCCCTAGAGGTCAGACTAAGCTAGGAGAGCTTTGTTTCTTGATCAGCTGCGTTTCTCTGTGCAGTGTGCTGGAAGATCATTGTTAATAACAAAGGCCTTAACAGTAATACTTGCTCTTTTTAATTTTGGGTTTCTACAAGGAACTGAGAAGCCAAATGAGTGCACAAATGTGACTAACCAAATCAAACTCCCAATGTATGTTTGATTAGTGTTATATATATATATATATATATATATATTTTTTTTTTTTTTAGTTTTTTTGTAAAAGCATCATATGACCCCTTTAACATTTGCATCGGGCTATTTTACCCACCATCTACTGGTATAATGGTAACTTATAGAAAAGGAAACTGAATGGACCAGTGAACACAAGATTCGATTCACTGGGATAAATCAAAACATTTCAAATAATAATAATATCCAAGAGAACCAGTTTTCCTCCAAAACATTCTATACTATTCTATAATTTTAACAATTATTAGGTTAAATATATTTATGAATAAATGTATCTCTTTAGGGGTAAATATATTTATGGGTAAACTCGCTTACTGAAACTGACTTCTTTTTGCTGTTACATGCTTTTTTAGTAGCCGTATAACATGACTCGTACTGTCCTTATAATGCAAGTCAAATAACTTTTCTCTACAAATTAGCAGTAGTATCAAACAATTCAGGAAGCTCTACTGATACGCCGGACGTGTTCGGCCCACTCGCGCCCGTTCCTCTCCAAGTATAGAGGTGCGTTCGACTTGATGCGGCGCCGCGCAAACCGATCGGCGGCTGACTTGAAGCAGTGCATGTCGGCTAGAAATTTTGTCCGACTTGAACCGACGCCACGTCACTGTCACGTGCGGCATCAAAGTACCGCGATAGCGTTTCGAGAGCAGCCGGCTGACTCAGCTGGCTCAACTTTTTCAGAGCAACTGCTCTCGGTGACGTCTGTAGCCGTGCTTCAAGTCGAACGCACCTTAGGTCTCTCTTTGCAGGAAAGTAATGGGAGTTACCAGACCGGGGCGTTTTTAGACCATGTTTCCTGATTGGCTGACATCATAGTGACGGTGGGGTTAGGTAAGGGGGATCACTTTAGGTGCGTTCGACTTGAAGCACCGCTACAGACGGCAGTCAGCGAAAACACCCACAAATTCAGAACCGCTCACTTTTGCTCTGCAGAGACCTCAATCCCTTCCGTTCTGCGCATGACATCGCCTTAAATACTCCAGTTGATTTTCCCCACTTTTCGTCGCCATCCTGAGAGCGCAGTAGAGGAGGAGAAATAGCGGACTCTATCGGAGTTTTTTTCAGTGATGTGTTTCTAGGCAGCGGGACCTCGTGGAAAGAAAACGTTCATTTTTTTATTTTAACGGACTCTGCATTTCGGTTGTGCTTGGAAAAGCCGCAGAGTGATATTTGTGCTCGAGAAAGAGGGCGGCGTGAAAGGAAAACTTTTTGTGCCAAGGTGAAGAAATCGAGTTTTGTTGTTGCGAACGCGTCCGTATAAAGGCAAAAGTTCGGGATGTCTCTCTCGGTACCTCAGAACGGTGTAAAAGGGGATAACGAACCCGTCATCGAGCTTTTTGTGAAGGTAAGAGCCTGACTAAAAACTAATTTAACGTTAAGTAAAGATAAAAGGGATGGCGCTCCCAAAATAACGTTCGTTTGTGAACACACACGATATTTTTGACTGAACGATACACTCTGTCACCTTTTGCTTTCAATATGTTAAAAAAATGCGATGAAAGTGCATGGTGACCGAGACCTAAACGTTGACACTGCACCTCCCAAACTACAGGCTTCTGTTGTAATTTGAGTCATAATTCTGGTTTCACTTGATACATGAGCTATTCACAGTCAAAGCGACCACCTCAACCCGTAATATGTCTAAAACAATGTCATAAATTGGATTCAGCCATTGTGTTTTACAGTAAGAGTGAATGATGACACCGTGTCCATGTGAATGTCAGATGGGCGTTTTCTCAATATCACCCAATATCTGACTATGTGCTGCTCCTTTTATATTCTTATGATTATATGTAACAAAAATAACGGGGAAAAGTTTACTCCCTCAGCCAAATGCACAAAGCACGCGGGTTTAAGGAGAGGTTGCATGGGAAACCGACAACAATGTACATCTGCAGTTCCCAATCCCGACTGCAGGACATCCGTCCGGTCCAGGATACAGAGTTACCCACACTTACATTAAACCGAGCCAAAAAGAGCCCAAATGTGCTCTGCCAGAGTTCAGGATATGTCTGTTAAGAAAGGACGTTGTATTTAATATCCTTTGAATGGATGAACCCGTCTTTTGTTTCTTTATCTACTGCAACATTGTTTTGCCTTCATAACAGAGTTTTATATTTTAACTCCACACAGGAATCAGTCTGTGTTTATTGTAACCAGAGACGGTGTTAGGATCTATTTTTTGATGGTTTGGCTCTTAAGACTAAACTCTTAGTCATTTCCAACATAAACTGAAGTGAAGGAATCCGGTCCTTCCCTGGATCTTTGAGTAATCAAACTGGAATTATTCGAATTCCTCTCCACTGCTGGAATCCTGCTGTCCTCTTTCTTTCTTTCCTTTGCTTTTCTCTTCTTTTCTCTCCCTCCAAAGGCCTTCTGCCGGGCAGAGCGGGAAAACTCCCGAAAGACTGAAAGGAGGGTGAGAAGGGAAGTGGAGGAGGGGAGGGAGTTACAGAAAGAGGAGGGGGCTCTTAACAGTGGATGTTTAGGGACTGAGATCTGTTTGGAAGTGTGCAGCAAGCTCTCCTCTGTAACCCGCATGATTACTAAACTACTAGTGCATTAAAGCTCAGAGGACTTTGGATCTCAGACTTGAAAATGCTGACCAGGCGTGTATGATTCCCGAGCCTTTAATTAAAGGATGCCCCTGCTGTATTAAATGGTCTGTAATTAATAATTCAATGAACATTACAGCAGTTTGTCACGTTAGAAGGCACTTGTATAGGTCAGCTCTTTTTGGAAGTTGTGAAGTGAGCCTATAAAACATTAGATGAGCCTCAGATTTTAAATATGGGCTTTGGTTTCTAACAGATTGATTGTTAAAGACCCCAGGAAATCTGAGGAGTGCCGTTTTCTTTACTGTATTGCATTTATTTTACTGTATTCTTTTACTGTACTGTATATTTGAATTATATTGACCTTTTGAAATACATATATGATTTTTTTTAAATGTTGCATATATATATATATATATGTGTATATGTGTGTGTGTGTTTCTGAGTGTGTATATGTATATATAGAAACATATTTTATTATTAAATATATAAAATAATGTTTTAAAAGTTGTAATAAATATTTGTTTTTATAACACCATAAATATAATATATAAGGATATGCTCACTTTAGAGAGCATTTGAGTGAATTTTGTCAATGTTTATAAGTACACTAACATTTAGATGGCTTCCAGCTAATACACAAAATGCACAAAACTCAAATTTTTATTTCATGGGGTCTTTACAATAAAGTGTCCATCCTATTGTCTTCCTCTTGCCCTTTTTTAAGAATGTCTTGCTGTAATTTGGCATACTGTATGAAGTGCTTGATACATGATATAATTGATGTTGTTTTATGAATGGGTTAGTCAGGAAATTATTGTCTTTTATTGCTGGTGTTGTGATTTTAGATTCGGCTTGACCACACAGCAGTGTTGCCTGATCATTACATAGTGAATCAGCATCAAAAATTAGCACCTGAGCAGGAATAAAACAGTTCTTCTGCTGTTGTGGCTTTGATGTGGAACGGCATGAAGAGAGACCGCAGGTCACCCTCCTTCAGCACTGACAGAGTCTGCTGCTGATCTCAGATGAGCTGCAGTGACACTTACACTGTGTGTGTTTCGTTTCTATGGCACCTGGGTAAAGGGAGTTTCATTTTATGTTTGAAAGTGCACACACTGCAGCAGAAAGATAATGGTGACCTCTCTCCCTCCCTCCCTTTCTGTTGTTTTATGTCTTTCTCATTCGTAATTAACAGCATGTGTGTACCGCCTTTCCTTCCTGCACAACATCACAGCAGGACCACCCCCTTTGTTGCCATAGAAACCAGGCAAACCTTGCCCCTGCTGGCGGGTGATAATGCAGTCATCTCCCTTCCTCCCTCCCTCTGTACAGCCGCACCTGCTGGCCATCTTTACCACGTGGACATTTAGATATTTACTTTGATTGCAGTAAAGCACACTGCAGCTTGTGTTGGTGTACAGTACATTTCAAAAAGAGTCTGAACACACTTCTTGTGTGGTTGAATCAGATCAGTGCTTGCTGGTTTAGAAGTCTTTGTGTTTCTCTTAGTTGGCTTTTTATCCTCTGTTCTCTAAGGCCGGGCATACACTGTGCAATTTCATCAAGGTACCAACTCGCACTGTACGAGCAGATTGCATGCGATGTAAAGTCAAAGCTCATGATTTATGTGCTCACACTGTACGGTCTGATTGTCGAGCATGATTTATGTGCTCACACTATGCGTGTGAAATACTCTAGTTGCACAGACGATGACACTGTATGGACGATAGCCAGAGATATCAAAAAAAATATATATAAGCATCAGGTGATATTGAGAGGATTTGTCATTTCCAATTAATGTATTAAATTATTACCATTGCTATTATTATTATTATGGTACTTTTATTATTAAATTTATAGGTCTACTGCAATTCATTTGCCCCGCAATAATTTCATAGCTCATTACCACACAACCGCACAACTGATGCGTGAATAATAAATAATTAAATTAGCTTACTCCTCATTGAAAATGATTTAAAACATTTAGATATATTAGCCTACACAATGAATAGGCCTAGGCTATAATTAAAATTCTGTCTAAAGTAGCCTATGTTCAAACACTGTAATAATCAGTCAAGACCTTTATTAGCCTACAGACAAAGACATGTAAAAAACAACTTGTTTTACACTAAATACTTCAATTCTGTTGTTGTTGTTTTTTCACTACGTATATCAAACCCTGTCCACACGAACGCGGTTATTTTTAAAACCGCAGCTTTTTCTACGCGGTTAGGCCGTTCGTCCACATGCAAACGCAGCACCAGTTCACTGAAACCGAACATTTTTGAAAACTCCTGCCAGGGTGAAGATTTTCAAAAACTCCGGTTGCAGGGTTATCGTGTAGACAGCGAAACCGGAGTTTTTGGCTTGTAGAAAAACTCTGTTTATAAAAATACCTGTGTACATGGCCTCAGCTATAAGAGATTTTTTTTTTTTAGAAAATAAATTAAGACAATACCCAATATGTCTCTCGTCTCCTCTGAGAATATGTGCCGTTAAGTGTCAGATGCCGACAGCTCAGTCAGTTTTTACTTTCACTTTCTTGTAGCTTAATGATTGACTGGAGTTTAAAACTTTTTCGTTTTCTTTCTTGCTGTATTAAAGATTAAATAGTTAAAGTTCTATTTTCGCGCAGGCGCAGTGAGGGAAAAAGCACTGAGTTTAGGGCAGTCGTGCGATACCCTCACGAGGGGCGACCAAAATTTCTGACATGTCAGAAATTCATCCGACCGTCCGATTGCCTGTCGGGAGAGACTTATCGCTTCTCGTTTACCCCTGTACACTGCACGAACACTGCACGACAAACGACGCACGACAAAGCTGAAATTCAGCCCGACTCAAATAAAGAGTCGCACGAGTCAGAATTCAGTTCAGAATTGGACGAAAGTGTATGCCCAGCTTAATGGATTTGAGATTTGAGAGATCAGCCTCAGAGCTTTAATTGGATCAGTGTCTCTTAAATTGTGACTTCTCTAGAGTATGATGCAGCAGAGCAAGAATTTGCAGTTCTCATGGTTATTGAATGTTAGGCTTATTTTGGGTTTTCAAGGAAATGCTTCCATTCAAGTCAACGTCTAGAAGTGTGGTATATTATAGATATTTAGAGTAGGAATGCATGATATATCAATACACTATTGGTTATCGGCTTAATTTTTATCAGTACTGGTCAGTATTGGAAATTTAATTTTATTATATGTGCATCCCCAATTTAAAAGGGCTTACAAAGGCAAATATTGTTATTACTATTGCTCATACATGTGGTTGGAGATTAAAACAAGGTATTAAATGTTGATGTGTTACTTATTCTTCAGCATTAATGCTACAGGCCTCTAATAATGCTCAGATCATGCAACTTGAGGATTTATAATTTTTGCTTGGAAGACTATAAAATGGTCAAGAAATCCTTTAAAGGTGGGACAGAGTCATATTTTGGGACCAGACTTTTGTACAGACTTGTCCAAGTAAGCAACCACCCAGAACAGCCCAGCAACTGGATAACAATGTGCTAAAACGAACACCTTAAACTCCCATAACATGCTAGCATTGTGGTGCAAACAGTGTGAGTTTTGCATTGGCAAGTATCATTCACATTTTCTTTAAAATGTGTAGATCATTCATGATCTACCCAATCCTCTACCTCAGTGTGTACGGGTTCGAAACTAGCTCTGCAAAGTGAGCCAGATCACCATGTGACGGTGGTAATGTTTACTCTGCAGAATGACACTGTCACTCAGGTGCTTTACACAGTTCAGGTACTGATGATGCAACCTCAGTAACCCTTGCTCTG